ATTTATCGGTCATAGCGTCCACTCCCACCTGACCAGCTCGGAGTGCGATTGGGACTGAGGAAGTAAGACACATAACTAACACATTTCGGAACTTGATAGGAGAATATGCCTCCAGATTGCTGATAATTCATTCTTTTTGGGTCTCTTGTTGTTCACGTGTGATCCGAGTTGATCATCATCACCGACTTCGAGACACGATGCGATGGCTGTGTGATCATGACAGATACGGTTCCTGACCTATCTGATGATGAATAACCACAAACTGCGCACTCGAGTCCTTGTAACGCACGAACCACCCACCCTGCATCCACGAAGGTTACACTGGCTCGAACGAACGACCAACCTTCAATAGAAGGCAGAGTTTGGTTTCCGCCATCACCGACATGATCTTCGCCGCCCGTCAACTGCAGGAAAAGCGTCACGAGATGCCGACCTAGTTCTACTCCACCCTCGTGGATCTGATGAAAGACTTGACATGATGCATCGTGATAGACGGTGGAAAATTATGCAGAAAGTCGTCTGTCCCGAGCGATTCACTCAGATGGTGTGTCAGCTGAACGATGGCATGACGGCGCGAGTCACGGACAATAGAGCTGTCTCGGAGGCATTCGCTGAGAACAGCAGAGTGAATCAGGGCTGCGCGCTCAGACCTAGCTGACCTGCTGCTACTTATCTCCGTGGAGTCACTGTTTCCCTTCTAGAATTTAGGCAGCAGGCCCCAGAACTCTACTTCTTCCGCATCGGGGTTACTGTTTTCTCTGCCAGGACAACTCATACTAACTGAGGTTCTTTCCCTCCCCCCACAAACCCACCATTCTCTCAGAAGTTTAAAATTTCTTATGCGACCATCCCACTGATGTTCCTTACACCGTGCCCCTTCGACTCACTCCACTTTCTGATCGTGAACACAACCATGTACTCGTAACAGAAGAAGAAGAAGAAGAAGAAGAAGAAGAAGAAGAAGAAGAAGAAGAAGAAGAAGGAGAAGAAGAAGAGGAAGGTTTGGGCGACCGCAAGCCCTCTGAACTTCTCCGCCTCAAAGCCTCTGAAGGCTTACCTAATGACTTGT